ATGGCGGTAACCCGGGAGGCGGAGCTTGCTGTGAGCCGAGATCCGGCCACTGCACTCCAGCCTGGGTGACAGAGCGAGACTCCGTCTCAAAAAAAAAGAATTAAAAAAAAATAAAAATAAAAATAAAAATAAATAAAAAGAAACAATGAAAAGACTAGTTTATAGAAGTTATTTCAGGCAGGGGAACAAATTGTCAAATGATAGACTTAAAACTAAATTAAATTAAGTCCTATTATTGGTTGAATTGTGCGTGTGCACACCCATACGCCAATTCATACATTGAAGTTCTAACCTCTAGTACCTCAGAGTGTAACCTTATTTGGTTATTGGAAATAGGGTCATGGCAGATGTAATTAGTAAGAAGTTACACTACAGTAGAGAGGAGCCCTTACTCCACTACCTGGTGTCCTTATAAAAAGGGGAAATTTGGGCTGGGTGCGGTGGCTCACACCTGTAATCCCAACACTTTGGGAGGCCAAGTTGGGTGGATCGCTTTAGCTCAGGAGTTCGAAACCAGCCTGGGGAATGTGGAGAAACCCCATCTGTACAAAAGATCCAAAAATTAGCCAGGTGTGATGGTGCAATCCTATAGTCACAGCTACTTGGGAGGCTGAGGTGGGAGGATCACTTGAGCCTGGGAGGCAGAGGTTATGGTGAGCTGAGATTGCGCCACTGCACTCCATCCTGTCTCAATTAAAAGGTCAGGAGGTGAGTGGAGTTGGATTTGGACACAGAACCCATGTAAACATGAAGACCAGCCATCTGTAAGTCAAAAAGAGAGGCCTGGAACAGATCCTTCCCCCACAGTCTGCAAAAGGAACCAGCCCTGCCAACACCTTGATTTCAGACTTCTAGCCTCCAGAACTGTGAGAAAATAAATTTCTGTTAAGAGACCCAGTTTGTAATACTTTGTTGCAGCAGCCGTAGCAAACTAATATAGGTCCCAATATTTTATTTGTTTTGAAAATCTAAACCTAGGAAAATTCAGCATTTGAAATTTTACTATTTCTTTAAAAGGTAGGGAACCAGTTCTCTGGAATGAATTATAGAATGTGTGGTTATAGAGTTCTTAGGTTTTTGATGACTCATACTTTAGCCAGTTACTAGTCAATCCAGTTTACAAAGCAGTTTATCACGAGCCCAGATCAGCAGCTGGAGTTTCAGGAGTGTGCATTTTTTTCTATTTATGGTAGTAGAGTGGTAAGAGTCTTTCTAGTTACCTGAGAGGTGTTTCCTAAATGTATTTTGTATATACAGATTCAAGCCTCTTACCTGACTATTCATTTTCTTTTTCTTTCTTTTCTTTCTTACTCTTTCTGTCTCTTTCTTTCTTTCTCTTTCTTTCTTTCTCTTTTTCTTTCTTTCTCCTTCCTTTCTTTCGTTCGTTCGTTCTTTCTTTCTCTTTCTTTCTTTCTGTCTGTCTGTCTGTCTGTCTGTCTTTCTTTTCTTTAAGTCTCGCTCTGTCACCCATGCTGGAGTGCAGTGGTGTGATCTTGGCTCACTGCAACCTCCACCTCGTGGGTTCAAGTGAGTCTCCTGCCTCATGCTCCTGAGTAGCTGGGACTATAGGCTCATGCCACCATGCCCAGCTAATTTTTGTATTTTTAGTAGAGACTGGGTTTTACCATGTTGGCCAGGATAGTCTCGATCTCTTGACCTCGTGATCCGCCCACCTCGGCCTTCCAAAGTGCTGGGATTATAGGCATGAGCCACTGCGCCCGGCACCTAACTATTCATATTCTTACGAAAATCTGAAGTTGGTCTCTTTCTTATATATGGATTAATAGCACCCCGGGGAAACTAGAGATGAACAACTTTGAATATACATCCCATTTCAGTGGACTAGAAAAGAATGGACCATGCTTTTCATGATAAGAGCAAGAACCTCAGGAGAAGGCTGTACGACTAAATTAGGAGTGATCATGGGAAGTGCCCTGCTGACCAAGAGGAACTGGCTATTCCCATGAGAAATTTTATTATAGACTGATTGGTGAAGCCTTGGAAATAATATTGAAAATCATACCTCCACCTTAAACACAGCTCCTTAATTATTCTGGTTTTCTAAACAGAGCCAAGTAAGTATGCCAGCAGAACAAATCTACCATGTTTAAAACTGACTACAATAGTGTATAAGTAAAGGACATGGACCCTGGAGTCAGTTCAAGTTAGTTTTATGATTTGGAGTAGATTATTTCCCTTGCCTCTGTTTTCTCATGTGTAAAATGGATAGTCCAATGTGTGTCTATCATAGCATTTTGTGATGATTAAATAGAGTGATAATTCACGTAAAGCAGTGTGCAAAATGACTAGTGCATATTAAGTACAAAAAATGTTGGCTAATAGCAATGGCAGCAGCTGTGTGGCCACAGTGCATGCTACTCCCTCTCCCATTTTAGTGCATGAGAGCGAATAATCTCGTCTCGTGAAATGTTATAAGCTCAGACAGTAGAATCCATGAATTCAAAATATTAACAAAGCAAAGCCTGCAAGGGCCTGTAGGATCAACTGGTGCTCTTCATTCATTTAAAGGTTCAGAAAATAAAGTCATGAAATCAGGGTTGGAGAAGGCCCTAGATCTCCTGGTTCCCAGTTTTTCTTTTCTGCTGCATGTTGCAGCCTTCTATATCACAGAACCATGTGTCTCTTTTAATTCTTCTCTCTCTCTTTTTTTTTTTTTCTCTTGAGACAGAGTCTTCTTCACCCAGGCCAGAGTGCAGTGGTGCGACCTTGGTTCACTGCAACCTCCGCCTCCCAGGTTCAAGCCATTCCCCTGCCTCACCCTCCTAAGTAGCTGGGATTGCAGGTGCCTGTCACCATGCCTGGCTAAATTTTTGTATTTTTTTTAGTAAAGACAAGGTTTCACTGTGTTTACCAGGCTGGTCTCGAACTCCTGACCTCAAGTGATCCGCCTGCCTTGGCCTCCCAAAATGCTGGGATTGCAAGGCATGAGCCACCACACCTGGCCACTCTTTTTCTTTTTTTAATCCCAAAGACTTCAAAATCATTCTTAATAAACCTTTTGCTTCAAAGGAAACATTTTTTCTTCTCTTGACGTTTGTGTGTTTGAAATTTTTCTTATTAAATAGTTTATTAAAATTATTAAATTTAAACTGAATTTATGATTGTTTAAAGCATTTTAGAGTATGCCTGACTGTACATTTACTGTCTGTTATGGAACAAAGAAATTGGTAGCAGTGATTGCCTCTGGGAAGTGCACTGTGGTAGAAGTGACATTGATTATAATGGAGAATTCTGGAGAATACAGTAATTACCAGTTAGTGGAACAGGACAAGGAATAAAGTGGTAACAAGTATCTGGTTAACCGAAACTCAAGAACTGTATAGATTCAAAATTTTGGAAGTATCCCTTGTTATGTACACATTAGCACACTCTACCCAAGCTGCAGAAGCCAAATAGATTTGGATAGGGAGGAATACTTTGGTTTCATTTGGGTGAGAACTGCTCCTGTGAATTGCATTTTACACGCCTGTCTCTGACTTATCAGTGGATGAAGTGATGAGCTCTATTCCTACCTTGTACATAGGGTTTTTGCAGCATAAAAGTGCTTAACTCTGGACTAAACCTGGAGAAGACCAGGAGCTTAATTGAGCTCTTAGAAGAAAAGAAAAGGAAAAGTGTTTTAACAAGTGCATGTTCATGCTAGGTGGGATTGCATATCTACAGTTTACCTGTCAAAAAAGGGAAAGGGAAGGCTAGCTACACTTTGCTTTGGACATTTTATGTATTTTCTCTAAGGTGTGTGAAGTGTATTTGTATGAGTTACAGTATTTTTTTCTTTCTTTCTTTTTTTTTTTTTTTTGTGACAGGGTTTTGCCATGTTGCCCAGGCTGAAGTGCAGTAGCTATTCACAGATGTGATTGTAGCACAGTATAGCCTTGAACTCCTGGGCTCAAGCCATCCTCCTGTTTCAGCCTTCTAGGTAGCTGGGACTACAGGCACATGCCACCGTGCCTGGCTTCTATAGTATAATTTTTGAGCCTCCTAGTTTCTGTTTTAAAATTTGTTTTACTATTTGAAGAGCCAGTTACTTTTCTAGCTAGCTTCCTCTTTTCTGAAACAGGAAGAAATATTTTGAAATAAAACGATCCAAATGTGTTTTAGGATTATTAACCATAAGTTTCAGAACATAGCATTCTCGAAGGCAAGGATATTATCTGTTTAGCACCTATGATACATATTTAATTTGAGTAATTAAATTCTTATGACAGAAGTAATGTCTAACCTCAGTGGGTAGTTCAGTAAACTTTAATTTTAAAAGATGGAGGCTGCTTAGTTGTAATGAAATCATCAATAATATTTGAATATAGCAGACTTAAGGAAAATAGTAAGGTGCCTGGCATTATATTATCTATGAGCAGGAACTTTTTCTTACATTTGAGAAGATAGCTTGAACCCAGGAGATTTTATTTAATTAACATTTTATTTTTATGTCACTTATTGGTCCATGCGTATGCGTTAATGGTATTATTATTATTATTATTATTATTATTATTATTATTATTTTGAGATGGAGTCTCACTCTGTTACCCAGGCTGGAGTGCAGTGGCGTGATCTCAGCTCACTGCAGCCTCCATCCCCCAGGTTCAAGTGATTCTCCTGCCTCAGCCTCCTTAGTAGCTGGGACTACAGGCGTGTGCCACCATGCCCAGCTAATTTTTGTATTTTTATAGAGACGGAGTTTCACCATGTTAGCCAGGATGGTCTTGATCTCCTGACCTCGCGATCTGCCCACCTCGGCCTCCCAGAGTGCTGGGATTACAGGCGTGAGTCACTGCGCCCGGCTTTCATTTTTAAATTTTAATGCCATTATTTGGTTTTAATAGACAGAAATTTCCTAATGCCTAGAAGGATTGTAGAGATACAGCCTAATAATCTAAAAATTAAATTGATGGCTAGTATAAAATAGTTTTGAGCAGTATTTAGCAAAAGCAAAACTGTGTTAACCCTTTGTTTTCATTTACCTCTTCCTAACCCCTCAGCTTGGCGATCCAGCTATTTTTCCTGCCGTAATTGTGGAACATGTTCCTGGTGCTGATATTCTCAATAGTTATGCCGGTCTAGCCTGTGTGGAAGAGCCCAATGACATGATTACTGAGAGTTCATTGGATGTTGCTGAAGAGGAAATCATAGACGATGATGATGATGACATCACCCTTACAGGTGCGTGTGTCTCCATCCAGTAGGACCTTACTGCAGCACAGCGTTAGGCAGTGTCCTCATCCTGACTTTGTGGGGCATAAAACGCCCCTAACTTGGTTTTAAACTGTATTACCTTCAGAAGCTGGAGCCCTACATGCAGAAGAAATTTACACTTTCTGTTTCATCTGCTGGTTTTAGTACTGTTTGTCATCTCCCATTTCTCCTTTCCTAAATATATTGAGATGAATGTGACAAAATAAGAGGCATGTAAAAGGAACCAAACCTACTCAATTCATCAAGTCTTCACTGAGCACCTTTTTTTTTTTTTTTTTTTTTTTTAAAGAGATGGAGTCTTACTGTATTGCCCAGCCTAGACTTGGACTCCTGGGCTCAAGTGATCCTCCTGCCTCAGCCTCCTGAATAACTGGGACAACAGTCATGCACCACCCCACCCAGCTCACTGAGTACTTTCTTATATGCCTTCCTCCATATTCCTGTGAACAAAATGAGTTGTTTTGTAGGGAAAGAGAGAGGAATGTTCTTTTCTTACCACTGCCACAGGAAGCATAATGGTGGGCCATGACCCAAATGTATGATAAGGTCCTGGTATTTTATAGATTTCTTTTCTGGTTCAGTCGGAACTAGTAAGATATTTTAAACTTGAAGATTAGGCTACATAAATGTGAGATTGTAGTAATAATACTTTCATCACTTAGAAACTGGTACATGCTTTCTCTTTCTATTCATTTACATTCATATATCTTGGCCAGGGATGTTGTGGATATTTGAGAAAACTATTTGGAAGCAAATATTTGCATCTTTATTCGTAAAAGAAAGTTTATCAGAAATAGGCATGACAAGGTATATCTGTAGATTTCATAGTGGCAAGTACTGGGGCTGCCTTGTTCTCAGCTTTACCTTAGCATATAGCACAATGCCTTAGAACTGAATAGTAAGTCTAAATGCAGGTTCTGGTCTATTTAGGAAGTTAACATATGATACAGTAACATTTTAAATCAGGGGAAAGGTAGAATGACTGTATCCATCTGGTGGGGGAGAGGCCCCACTGATAACACTGGTTGTCAATACCTCATCTTTGTATTGTCCTCTGTTTGTGTCACTTCTCACACTGCTATAAAGAACTACCTGAGACTGGGTAATACGTATAAAGAAAAGAGGTTTAATTGGCTCATGGTTGTGCAGGCTGTACAGGAAGCATGGCTGGGGAGACCTCAGGAAGCTTACAGTCATGGTGGGAGGCGAAGGGGAAGCAGACACATCCTACATCGCTGGAGCAGGAGGAACAGAAAGCAGGGTGGTAGGGGGTACTACCCACTTTCAAACCACCAGATCTCATGAGAATTCATTCACCATCATGAGAACAGCAAGTGGAAAATCCACCCCCACGATCCAGTCACCTCCCACCAGGCTCCTCCTCCAACATTGGGGTTTAAAATTCAACATGAGATTTGGGCAAGGACAAATCCAAACCATATCACTGTCTTTTTTTTACAAAGCATTTTTTGCATATATTCACATTTTTTGTTCAGAACAAACCAATAAAAGTTTTTTGTTGAATCTAGAGTTACTTCTCCTTTACCAGTAAGGGAATTAGACTAATGAGGTTAGAAGTTTCTATTCATTGCTCTCTGATCTGTTTGTGTAACAGAAGAAACACCACTATGCATGTATCTGGCTTGTAGTTAGTGGGGGTGTAGCAGTGTATTCTGATGTAACTTTTAAAGCCTTAGGATAAGGCTACAGTCTTTGCAAGTTGAGGACCACTGTCTTTCTGGAAGGAGTATTTCTTCCTAGTTCTAGTCATCAGGGAAGGCATTAGCCCTCAGAGAGGACATTGAATCTAGGAAAGCAGGTATTAGATCTTTAGGAGAAGGAATTGCCTCTTCCCTTTAGTGCATCACTCCCTTGCATTTAGACCTGAAGATAGCAGATGACAAGATGTAGACAGGTTCTTTCCTAGAAAATAGAACTGATGTGGAATGGGTCTAGAAGGCAAGCCAGATCTTGAAAACCAGATTCTCTCTTTGCGTTTTTTCTTCCCTTTCCCTTACCTCCCAACTTACCACACTTTTTAACTCTTCCATCCTTTTCTGAGCAATGTCATAAAAAAAGGAAGAACCTCGTAATCGTCCTTATTCTGCAATGGGTACGATGGGTAGCCTTTGAGAAGCTCTAGGGGAAGAAAGAATAAGGATAGGACATTTTTGTTCTTACATGTGTTAGGTGGCACTTCGGATGATGTGTTAGTTTGCTAGGACTGCCATAAGAAAGTACCACAGACTGGTGGCTCAAATGAGACATTGATTTTCTCACGGTTCTGGAAGCTGGAAGTCTGAGATCAAGGTATTGGTAGGGTTAGTTCCTTCTGAGGCTTCTTTCTGGACTTATAGGTGACTGTCTTCCAGTGTCTTCCCATGGTCTTCCCTTTTGTACCTGCCTGTGTTCATATTTCATATTAGAGGGACACTAACCATATTGGATTAGGGCCTACACTAATAACCTCATTTTAACTCAGTTATCTCTTTAAAGACATTCTGAGGTACTGTGGGTTAGCATGTCAACATAGAATTTTGGGGATACCATTCAGCCAGTAATAGATGATATTAAAGAATTACTGTGGGCTGGGCGGCTGCCACCTGTAATCCCAGCACTTTGGGAGGCTGAGGCGGGTGGATCGCCTGAGGTTGAGAGTTCGAGACCTGCCTGACCAACATGGAGAAATCCCGTCTCTACTGAAAATACAGAATTAGCCGGGCATGGTGGCGCATGCCTGTAATTCCAGCTACTCGGGAGGCTGAGGCAAGAGAATCTCTTGAATCTGGAAGGCAGATGTTGCAGTTAGCCAAGATCATGCCATTGCACTCCAGCCTGGGCAACAAGAGCGAAACTTTGTCTCCAAAAAAAAAAAAAAAAAAAATTATTGTTAGTATATTTAAGATATGATAGTAGTATTGTGTTAGACATCTTTTAGATACACATGCTGAGGTATTTAGAGATAAAATATGGTATCTTAGATTCCTTCAAAATAATCCTGTACAGAGGGTAAGGACTCGGGGGCAGTGAGTGGGGTATGGTTGAAAGAAGATTGGCTATTTGGTGATAACGGTTGAAGCTGGGAATGGGCACATGGGGATTCATTATATATACTATACTCACAATTTTTTTATTTTGTTTAAAATTTTCATAATAAAAAATTTGACCAGATGCAGTGGCTCACACCTGTAATCCCAGAACTTTGGGAGGCCGAGGAGGGAGGATCACTTGAGCCTAGGAATTCAAGGCCAGTGTGAGCAATATAGCAGGACCCTGTCTCTACAAAAAAGTTTAAAAATTAGCTGGGCATGGTGGCCTGAGCCTGTAGTCCTGGCTACTCGGGAGGCTGAGGTGCTAGGATTACTTGAGCCTAGGAGTTCATGGTTGCAGTGAGCTATAATGGAGCCACTGCACTCTGGCCTGGGAGACAGGGTAAGACCTTGTCTCAAAACAAAAAAAGCAAAACCAAAAAGATGTAATGATTTTATGAAATTTGAGGCTTAGATTATATTTTGAGCTGTCATCAAAATACATGAATTGTTTCTTAGTCTTGCCAGAAAAAATTAAACTTGAATTTCATCAAGTTTATGACTACTCAATTAGAGGGGGTATAGAAAAACATGTTAAGCTACACAATAGGAATATAGTTGGCAAAATCCAAACTGGGAAATTCTACACGAATAAACAACCTGATTTCTTCAACAAATAAATTGCAAAGTAAAAAAAGCTAGACAGATGAATGGCAACTCAGAAATGTATCAGTCAATTGCGATATGCAGACTTAATTTGATTTTAAAAAAAAAACTGTCTTGTCTTTCCTTGCGCCGCCACCATTTATGATTTTTTAACACAATTGGACTTTTGAATGCTGGTTGGCTATTTAATATTAAGGAACTATTGATTTTTTAATTTTTTTTTTTTTTTTTTGAAACAGAGTCTCGCTCTGTCACCCAGGCTGGAGAGCAGTGGTTCAGTCTCGGCTCACTGCAACCTCCACCTTCTGGGTTCAAGCAGTTCTCCTGCCTCAGTCTCCTGAGTAGTTGGGACTACAGGTGCATACCACCACGCCCAGCTGACTTTTTTATATTTTTAATAGAAACGGGGTTTCTCCATGTTGGCCAGTCTCAAGACTCCTGACCTCAAGCAATCTGCTTGCCTTGGCCTCCCAGAGTGCAGGATTACAGGAATGAGCCACTGTGCCTGGCCAGGTTTAGTATAATTTTATGTGTTTATAGTTTATATGTATATAAACTAAAATATTAAATGATGTATTCTGGTTCTAGAGATAAGCAGTGTATGACATTCAGAGTAACAGATGTCTTGTGGCTAATTTAATTTTCTCTTTAAATGTGTTGCAGTTGAAGCTTCTTGTCATGACGGGGATGAAACAATTGAAACTATTGAGGCTGCTGAGGCACTCCTCAATATGGATTCTCCTGGCCCTATGCTGGATGAAAAACGAATAAGTGAGTGGTTATGGTTACGATTGTTCATGTTTATGTACTTCGTTAAGTCACTCCTGCCATCTTTCTCTATTAGATAGTAAAATCAAGAGATTAGAAATGATGTTATATATTTTTTGTTACAATCACATTTTAAGGTATAGTAGGAATTGGGATGCCTTTGCAAAAATGTAGAGTTAAAGGCGACATTTTAATTTGAGAATGAAGCCTTTGGGAACAAAAAAATATATAATTTATTAGTTACCAAATAGAAGATCATGCAGAATTTCTTCTCCTAACATATTGATCAGAGTATTCGGGTATCAAGGGCCCAAATGATTATAATTTAGTCATCTCTGTAGTTATTTATCAGCAAATAGACAATAAGCTATTGAAAATTTTACTGACACATCATGGCATAAAATTCACTGCCACATTATTGATCTGCTTTAAATTTCATATTCTCCTTTGGGCTTTTCTGACAATCAAATTCATAAAGTAAATTATTATTAAATCATTCCAAAATATTTATTGAATATTTACTATATTCACAGCAGCAATAATTAGGCAATAACATGAGCTACAAATGAGTAGATATTGTTCCTTTCCTCAAGCTTACAGTTTAATTTTGAAGACAGTTACTTATGTAAATAACTACAAAGCGAAGAATAAAGGCCATGAGTGATAGCAAATTGCTCTAGAAGCAGTGAGTATTCTAGCTGAGAATATCAGAGACTGGCTTCATTAAAGGAGTATTCTGACGTGGGCTGTAAACAACAAGCTTTTAATAGGTAGAAGAGACGTGAACGGTCATTCAAGCTGGAGGGAATAGAGGTAAACATACAGGACACAGATCTGTTAGAGAAAATGAATGAAATCTTTGAGATCAAGATGTTTTGGTGTGAATGAAGTGTAAGCTTCATGGTGGGTGGGAAATGAGATTGGAAAGGTAGGTTTGGAACTAGATTACAGAAGTTTTGTAAGGCATGCTGTAGAGATGGGTTGTGCTTACGTTGTTTTTTGTTTTTCCTATGAACTATGGAAAGATATGTCAGGTTTTTTTTTTTCCCCTAATTTTCCAGGTATAAAGTTTCTGTGTAGAGGAGTATGGTCAGGTCAGACTTAGGTTTCAGAAAATAACTCTCACAGCAATGTGAATAATCAAGAGGAGAAACGAGACACACTGGTGATAGGAAGTCAAGTAAGAAAGACATTGAAATAGCTCAGCTGCGCCTGGACTGGTTTAGGGTATTTGATTTAGGGAAGAGGAAATTAAAAGCAGGAATAGATTTCAAGATTTTATTTCTACTTTAATCTTCTAGTCATAATAAAAACAAGAAATTTTGTCAATCTTTTTTTACTTATAATACACAGTGGACTATAATTAGTTGATTTTATTTTCATTAGATAATAATATATTCAGTTCACCTGAAGATGACATGGTTGTTGCTCCAGTCACCCATGTATCCGTCACATTAGATGGGATCCCTGAAGTGATGGAAACACAGCAGGTGCAAGAAAAATACGCAGACTCACCGGGAGCCTCGTCACCAGAACAGCCTAAGAGGAAAAAAGGTAGGTGGGTTACTTCATTTAGGGCACACAGTCAAGTCTTGATGTAAAATCTAGAGATCGTTTTTATTCTATGTAGTTCTTCCCTACAGCAGTTAAAACTTATGTAAGAAAAATATTGAAGCCACAAAATGGAAATACGAGGTATTTCTTGGCCAGGCACGGAGATTCATGCCTGTAATCCCAGCACTTTAGGAGGCTGAGGCAAGAAGATTGCTTGAGGCCAGGAGTTTGAGACCAGCCTGGGCAACAAAGCAAGACCTCACCTCTACAAAAAATTTTAAGAATTAGCCAGGCATGGTGGGCACCTGTAGTCCTAGATACTTGGGAGGCCAAGGTGGAGGATCCCTTGAGCTCAGGAGTTACAGGTTTCAGAGAGCTAAGATCATGCCACTGCACTCCAGCCTGGGCAACAGAGTGAGAACCTATCTCTAAGAAATAGAATAAAATAAAATAAAAAATAAATAAGAAAAAGAGGTATTCCTTCATAGTACAGTCATTTCTTTTAAAAAAAATTAAATTATTGGGCCAGGTACAGTGGCTCACGCCTTTAATCCCAGCACTTTGGGAGGCAGAGGTAGGCGGATAACCTGAGGTCAGGAGTTTGAGACCAGCCTGGCCAATACGGTGAAATCCCGTCTGTACTAAAAATACAAAAATTAGCCAGGCATGATGGCTGGTACCTGTAATCCCAGCTACTTGGGAAGCTGAGGCAAGAGAATCACTTGAACCCAGGAGGTGGAGGTTGCAGTGAGCTGAGACCACACCATTGAACTCTAGCCTGAGCAACAAGAGGGAAACTCCATCTCAAAAAAAAATTATAATAATTAAATTATTTTATACTTTAAAAATGTTTGGTCTATCTTACAGAAAAGGGATTTTCCAACTTTTTAAAGCCTCAGATTTCTATCTAAACCCTTTCATCCTTGGGTAAGAGCTAGTCATCTTTCTTCCCAGGGGTTATTGTTTGAAAGCCTCCGCTCTGTACCGGTGATTCCAGTATAAGACTGTAGTTGGAAAAAATACAATGGGTTGGAAATCAGCAGGTAAGTAACTGAAGAGGAGTATGTTAGGATGTGTTGAATGGGAATTTTTAATTTTTTGCCAATTAGGACCACACTTGCATTCTAAAGTCTGACACCTTTTCCATTTTATTGCCTTCTGATTCTATTCATGCTTGCTTAGTATTTTGAGTATAATGTCTTGATTAATAGCATCACCACCCACCCAGTAACCTAAGTTCATGTGAAAGTCAGGGAAATTCCAAGAGCCGAAAATGAAGAGGAAAATAAAAATAGTTAACAGGAGCCGACACTGCAGCAGCTCAGAAGGGCTGAGAAGGATATGCCAAGGGGTTTTGGTTTTATTGCTTATGTTGAGGCAGAAGCTTAGGTTTCTATGTTGGACTATGCAAGATGGGGTATTGGACAGAGATCTCCGCATGCAACTGGGACCCTTGAAGGGATATACCCCCTTGGGGGAAAAAAATCCACCCATTGGCGCAGACAGATGTCAAGGAAGCTTGGGTCCCATTCAGCCAGACCTCTGAGTAGAGAAATTCTGGTTTAATTTCTTTTGGATAAATACTTAGTAGTGGAATGGCTGGATCACATGTTAAGTGTACATTAAATATTTTTCAGAAACATTACTTTCCAAAAAATTTTTTCTTCATGTATTAAGGTGGGGCAATCATAGGACTTGCCTCATTTATTTCCTGTCTCTTGGGGATCACTGACTTTTGTTGACCGATGTCCAATTTCTTCTGTACCATTGTTTCATACATTTTTTCTGTGTTTTTAATGTTTCAGGTGGGAAGATAAATCCATGTTGTGTTATTCTATCTTGACTAGAAGAGGAAGTTCCCACCTAGTCTTTTTTAATAGCCTTATTCTTTGACACTGTTTTTTTTTCTTTTGCTTTAAAAACTCTAATCATACTATGTAAAGTTTCTATTTAATGATTCTATTATGTGTGATTCTTAGAGAACTAATCCTGGGGTTCCTATGTCTGCTGCTTCTCACTCAGAAAGTGTCTTCCTCATGTATTCTGTGATACCAAAATGTGAGTTCTCCTTCAACAGGGCTTTATCTGAGGAAATCCTGTATGGCCTGGGTTGAATGTATAACCCACCTGAGCAATTCTGTAAGAGCTTCTGCCTGGTGCCCCATGGTTGTTATAGCCCTGGGGCTACGTCTTTGTTAATTGCATGGCTGGCAATTCCTAATGTTAGTGGTAATTTAAAATCTAGTTGTAAACCTAGGTTAAGACAGGCCCAGGATTCACGGTGTTTATAGAAAAATTTGTACATAAATGGCTGATCTCAACTCACTGCATCTTCCACCTCTTGGGTTCAGGTGATTCTCCTGTCTCTGCCTCCCAGGTAGCTGGGATTAAAGGCATGCGCCACCACACCTGGTTAATTTTTGTATTTTTAGTAGAGACGAGGTTTCACCATGTTGGCCAGCATGGTCTTGAACTCCTGACCTCAAGTGATCCACTGCCTCGACCTCCCAAGTGCTGGGATTACATGGATGAGCCACCACGCCCGGCCATTTATATACAAATTTTTCTTAAATATGTAGTGTTTGTTTACCCAATCAGCAGTTATTGGGATTTGGGTTATTTCCAATTTGGGGCAGCTACAAATAATGCTGCTAAGAACATTTGTGTATCTTTTTTTTTTTTTTTTTTTTTTTTTTGAGATGGAGTCTCGTTCTCTCACCCAGACTGGAGTGCAGTGGCACTTTCATCAACACAATAAAAATACCACTCAACAATAAAACAATATACAATTGGTACATTCAACAAAAATGGATGAATCTCTCAAAATAATTGTGCTAGGAGAAGGAAACCAGAAGAAAAAATATGCTTCTACAGTTTACCCCCAAACAATGTGGGGGTTAGGGGTGTCAACCTCTGCAGCCAAAAATCCATGTAAAACTTTTGACTCCCCAAAAAGTTAACTACTAATAACCAACTGTTGACTGGAAACTGGAAGCCTTATTGGTAACATACAGTCAGTTAACACATATTTTGTATGTTATATGTATTAAATACTGTATTCTTACAATAAAGTAAGTTAGGGAAGAGAAAATGTAATATTAAGAAAATCATAGGCCGGGTGTGGTGGCTCATGCCTATAATCCCAGCACTTTGGGAGGCCAAGGTGGGCGGATCACTTGAGGTTGGGAGTTCGAGACCAGCCTGACCAACATGCAGAAACCCCGTCTTTACTAAAAATACAAAATTAGCCAGGACTGGTAGCACATGCCTGTAATCCCAACTACTCGGGAGGCTGAGGCAGGAGAATTGCTTGAACCTGGGAGACGGAGGTTGTGGTGAGCCAAGATCGCACCATTGCACTCCAGCCTGGGTAACAAGAGTGAAACTCAGTCTCAAAAAAAAAAAGAAAGAAAGAAAATCATTAAGAAGAGAAAATATATTTACTATTTATTAAGCAGATGTGGAGAAAAAAAAGGCTTTTTTTTTTTTTTTTTTTGAGACAGGGTCTTTCTCTGTCACCCAGGCTGGAGTGCAATGGCAAGATCATAGCTCAGTGCAACTTGGAACTCCTGGGCACAAGCGATCCTCCCACCTCAGCCTCCCGAATAGCTGAGACTACAGGCGAGCCCCACCACACCCAGCTAACTTCTTATTTTTAGTTTTGTAGAGGTGGGTCTCGCTGTGTTGCCTAGCTTGGTCTTAAACTTCTAGGCTCAAGCATTCCTCCTGATTTGGCCTTCCACAATGCTGGGATTACAGGTGTGAGCCACCCTGCCTGGCCAAAGGTCTTCATGCTTGTTGTGTTTATGTTGGCTAGGCTGAGGAGGGAGGAGGAAGAAAAGGGTTTGGTTTTGCTGTCTCAGGAGTAGCGCAAGTGGAAGGGGAGGCAGGAGACACAGGCACACTTGATGTAACTTTTTTTGAAAAAAGATCACTATATAAGTGGGCCTGTGCAGTTCAAAGCTGTGTTTTGTTTGAGGGTCAGTTTTATATTTATATAAAGCTCTAGAAACTACAAACTAATCTATAATGACAGGAAACAGATGAGTGGTTGCCTGTGGATTGGGCAGGGTGAGGAAAGGCAAGATGTAAGGATTGCAAAAGGGGACAAAGTACTTTTGGGGTGATGAATATATTCATTGTTTTGAATGTAGTGGTGGTTTTAGTATACATAGTCACAACTTGTCAAATTATAAACACCAAACATATGTAGTTTATTATAAGTCAGTTATACTTCAACAAAGCTGCTTAAAAAATAAAAGACTAATATTCTACTTACTGTTGAAAAACTATTGGTATGATAAAGAACCAAATGGAATTTATAGAAATAAGAAATGAAATTGGGCCATGCTCAGTGGCTCATGCCTATATTCCTAGCACTTTGGGCGTCTGAGGTGGGCAGACGACCTGAGGTCTGGAATTCGAGAGCAACATGGTGAAACCCAATCTCTACTAAAAATACGAAAAAAAGTTAGCCAGGCATGGTGGTACATGCCTGTAATCCCAGCTACTTGGGAGGCTGAGGCATGAGAATCGCTTGAACCCAGGAGGCGGAGATTGCAGTGAGCCAAGATCGCACCACTGCATTCCAGCCTGGGCGACAGACTGAGACTCTGTCTCGAAAACAAAAAAATGAAATGAAATTGAAAACATAATATGTGGATTAAAACATAGACTGGTCACTGCTTAAGAAAGAATTGGCAAACTCCAATAGATTTGGTGTGAATTAAAAAATATGGAAGAGTTACAGACATGGAGAACTAAATGAAAAGGTCTACATGTTTAATCAAAGTTCCAGAAACAGAGAATATGAAAAGTGAGGAAGAGACAATATTCGAGAGATAGTGACTAAGAATTTTCCAGAATCACATGAATCCTCAGCATTGTAAATCCTGAGTGGGTCAGCTACAATAAATCTACTTTGTTGGTAAAAATGCAGAACACCAAAGACCTCTCTTCAAGTTCTCCCTGCTCCAAACAAAAAAAGAAGCAAACCAGGGAGAAACTACATTACTTCAAGAGGACTGATTTTTTTTTTTTTTAGATTGGCAGTTTAGAAGCTCCCAGGAGAGACTGGAAGAATTAGACATTTTCAAAGAGCTGAGAAGAAATCACTGTCAACCAAAAATTCTGTAACCAAGCTATAATTCGTCTGAAGCTTTGTACATTGCCACCTTGAATGATTAGGAAGATGTTGGAGAGGATGGATACTGGGTTGCGAGTTTTTACTGGCAGCATCTGTTGTGACTAAAGCTAGTGAAGGAAAGTAGTGGAAATAAAGACGATATCTTTTTTTTTTAAGCTGGTATATATTAATAGCATAAAATAAGGTGGGAGTTACTGAAGTCTTGGCTTCTAATACTTGTTATCATGAACACAGCCAGAAGAATCTGTCTCCTGAAGGGTTCTCTGCAGACGTCTGCAGTGATGAAAGTCGGGATACCTGGCTGACTAGCATACATTTGGCAATCTTAGAGACTGAAGAGTGGGCTTTTTGACACTTTGCTTCCTTCCTCTCATTCACCCAAATGACTTCAGAAGCGTTTTCCTATTCCGTTTCTGGGGATAGATTGTCACTGGCCTTGTGATTTTTTTTTTTTAGCTGTAAAATTCTGCTTTTCTAAGTTATTGTCCTGCCCTATATTATATTTACTTAGAATTCACCACAGTAATCCAAACCAGAGTGGCAGCCTCAAGGGTAGGAGGTAGTAACTCTTCATTGTTTCTCACCTATAGATTGGTAGTATGTTCAGACACCATGATCATGATCTAAACCTAAATACAAGGCAGTGGTGCTACTAGGCCGTGGTTCTAGATACTTGGCAAAAGAAGATCACAAATAGGGCTTTAGAATAGTTTATCGACCCCACTCTGAGACTATTGGGATGGACTTATTTAGACATTGATGGCAGGTAAGATAACTATTAAGTTTGTTGTGAATTGAAAGGTACAGAAAAACGAGATGTTTTTAGAAATACACAGAAGGATAGTATTTAACTATGTGGTTCACCAAAATTTTGCCTCACATTTTCTGTATTTCTAGAGTTTGGGAAGTTTCTTATACTTAAGAACTAACTGTATACAGAAATTATTTAATAGAGAAAAAAGCTAAAAATCCACTTCTCCTACCTTAAAAAGCTGGTAAAATCAATAGACAGACAGAGCTATGTGGCTTATTTTTGGAGCCCATGTTCTACCAATGTCAAAAGCATTCTCCAAAAGTTTAAGAAAGTGCTACCAGTATGGGTACTTCAAAGGCAAGCTATAGTATTTTAAATTAACTTCATTTTTACAGATATAAACTGAGGTGTCAGAAGTATCATTTCTTACATAAGTGTGTTTATGGTTTAACCTGCATTAATGTCCAAGTTTTATTAAAGTTGTTTTCCTTTTAGCAAACAGCATTTTAAGAGACCAGTATATGTGACCCATGTATAAAAACATTTGGCACTTGACCAAATAGCTGGATTGTCCATTTTTTGTCACTTTTGAAGGCAAATATTTATGCAGAGCTGTTTTTATTTCAGGGAGAAAAACGAAACCACCACGACCAGATTCCCCAGCCACTACGCCAAACATATCTGTAAAGAAGAAAAACAAAGATGGAAAGGGTACTACTGTAATTTCCGTGTAATGCTTATAGGTCAAGTAACACTCAGATTGCTTTATAGCGCCTGCCTGTCACAACTAGAAACCACCAGCTCTCTTGATATACTGCAATGGATCTTATTGCTGCCACATGCGTATTAGATACATTTGCCAAATTCTTAAAGGAAAACTGATAATAAAGTAGACCAAGAAACTCATTTGAGTGATTTTCACTTACCTGTCCAAATAATCTATTCTTTTCATGTAATAATGAGACTCTTGGAAGAATTTAACCAGGTTAGATTTTCAGTTCATAGGCCCTTTAGCATGTTGTCTTGAAATTCAAGCATTTTTATAACTGTTGCCCAAATTTGGAGAAAACTGTTATGGCTGACCTGCTGGCTCTAATCTAAAGAGAACAACTGTTGAAAGGAGAGAGTTCACAAAGAGACAGAAAAAAATTATCTCAAAGTACTTTCTCCTAATTCATCACAAATCTTATGACAAGATTGCTTTGTTCACATATTTTATATGGGACTAATAAAAAGATCTTTATTAGATGCTGAAAAGTATAACCATTATATCACCCATACTAACTAAATTATGTCACCAATACTAACTGAATTATGTAATGTTTTTGTATAAATATGAATGGTACTTCTAAGACTTTTAGTTGTCTTTTATGATGTTCTTTTAAATGAAATTTTGGTCATTTAGAAAGAAATTGTTTTTGTTTCAGGAAACACAATTTATCTTTGGGAGTTTTTACTGGCACTGCTCCAGGACAAGGCTACTTGTCCTAAATACATCAAGTGGACCCAGCGAGAGAAAGGCATTTTTAAACTGGTGGATTCTAAAGCAGTGTCCAGGTTGTGGGGGAAGCACAAAAACAAACCTGACATGAATTATGAGACCATGGGAAGAGCACTCAGGTATGCAAAGTTTTGGTATTTTATTGTGTTAAGAATATCATTTCCTGAATCCTAAAAAAAAATATTAAGCTTAAATTCAGCAGAGCACCAATAGTGGTAATGCAAGTACGTAATAAGAGGGTACATTTTCAGTCGGGTATGGTGGCTCATGCCTGTAATCCCTATACTTTGGGAGGCTGAGGCTGGTGGATTGCTTGAGTCCAGGAGTTTAAGACCAGCCTGGGCAATGTGGCAAAACCCTGTCTCTACTAAAATTACAAAAAATTAGCCAGACATGGTGGTGTGCACCTGTGGTCCCAGCTATTCGGCAGGCTGAGGTGGGAGAATCACCTGAGCCCCGGAGGTTGAGGCTGCAGTGATCGAGATTGCACCAGTGAACTCCAGCTTGGGCAACCGGAGTGACACCCTGTCTCAAAAAAAAAGAGGGTGCATTCTCAAACATGAATTGCAGGTATGATATGTTAGTTATTATGGTAGAATAAATTAGTGCTTCAAGAGTACTACTAGACATCATGAGAACTTTGAACAAGAGTAACATTTTATTCTTAAGCTCACTTTTAGTTCATTTTTTGGTGACTCTGTCATTTATTTTTCAAGATATGCATGTATTTGAGAGAGATTTATTGGAAATAAGAACGATCTGAATGACTTAGGGGATAGATATAGATATTAAATTTGGCAATCTTAAACTAGAATTCTTTAATTACAGTTTTTGGATTTTTTAACATACATTTTTTAGGTTCTGGATTTTATTAAAATAGATGACAAAAATTTGGATCACTTCTATTGCATATCATTAAGTTTTATACACAAAAGTCAATTACATTTACTGAATCAAATTTAAACTGATACAGTTTGCCTAGTAGGAACATTTCTAGAAAGCTGTGGAGGAGAAACAATTTATTGAGGCTTTTCGTAGTTTTGATGATCCTGGCAAGCTGTCAGAAAGGGGCCGAGTGTGGTGGCTCGCTTCTATAATCCCAGCATTTTGGGAGGCCGAGAAAGAAGCATCGTTTTAGCCTGGGAGTTCCAGACCAGCCTGGGCAACATGGCAAAACCCAGTCCCTGCAAATGCAAAAATTAGCCGAGTGTGGTAGCATGCGCCTGTGGTCCCAGCTACTTGGGAGGCTGAGGTGGGAAGATTGCTTAAGGCCAGGAGTTCAAGGCTGCAGTGAGCTGTGATCATGCCACTGCACTCCAGCCTGGGCAACAGAGCAAGACTCTGTCTCTAAATAAATAAGTAAATAAATTAGCAAAAAGATAGAGGAAGAAAAATGAAAGACCAGAAGATTTCACATACTCTATCAACAGTCCCCCAATCAGCATTAGTTTTAGATTTAGTTGGTAATAAGAACTTATCTCTATCTGTGCATAATTGTATGTTTATCTTATATGAAATAACTGCCCTTTATTTAGAAATTCTTTTCTCATTAGTTTGATTCCAACTTTAAAGTTTTGTTTATGATTAGGGAAATTTGATTTTGTTGAATATTTTAATTGATGTTTGATTGAATAAAATATTGATGAAATTGTCTGCTTTGAATAGGTACTATTACCAAAGGGGTATTCTGGCAAAAGTGGAAGGTCAGCGCCTGGTGTATCAGTTTAAAGAAATGCCAAAAGATCTTATATATATAAATGATGAGGATCCAAGTTCCAGCATAGAGTCTTCAGATCCATCACTATCTTCATCAGCCACTTCAAATAGGAATCAAGCCAGCCGGTCGAGAGTCTCTTCAAGTCCAGGGGTAAAAGGAGGAGCCACTACAGTTCTAAAACCAGGGAATTCTAAAGCTGCAAAACCCAAAGATCCTGTGGAAGTTGCACAGCCATCGGAAGTTTTGAGGACAGTGCAGCCCACGCAGTCTCCATATCCTACCCAGCTCTTCCGGACTGTTCATGTAGTACAGCCAGTACAGGCTGTCCCAGAGGGAGAAGCAGCTAGAACCAGTACCATGCAGGATGAAACGTTAAATTCTTCTGTTCAGAGTATTAGGTGAGAAAACCAAACCACTGATGCTTATCACTTCAATATGTTTCTGACCAGAGACATTATTTGTTAAGCGGGTCAGGATTCAGAAATGAAAATAAAAGTATATAGATTTCAAGCTAGAACTCTTGGTTACCAGATTTTTCGGGAGCAGTATATATTACATCAGTCCTCTAATTATGCCACTGGTCCCTTTATTTACATTTTGACATTATTGACATTATTCTGTCAGTTTAAGTATAGTTCGCTATACCTTTGTATAACTGGATTGATCCATATAAGAAGTTATCTAGATGTGAGAAAATCCAGGGAATGGTTTCAAATCTTTATTCAGGCCAAGTCAGAAGCTTCAAAAATTCAACGTGAATTGACATATTAGGACATTGAGTGTGCATGGAGTTCCAAGCAATAAATGTTGTTCCTTGGAAGATCCTATCTTGGAACAATTCTAAAGTTCAAATAGGAGGGGAGTCCAAGAATCTAAGATCCTCTTTTTTAGGCTTTTAGAGTGGCAGAAGTCAGAAAGTAGGGTTTGTTTTGTTTGGGACTAGTTTCAGCTGATTTAGAATGGGGGTATGGGAGGAAGGCAGAAAATTATATGGATGTTTCTAGCATTTTTCTGTTTATACTGTCATGAATTTCTAGAACATGAATTATAATAAAATCTAGCAGCCCTTTCAAAGCCAATACAAATTATTATTTGATTACTTTTATTAGCAAACTTCAGTCTTACATTTTTCTATTCCAGAATATAAATGTGGAGGTTTTGCTCAATTGATCTTGAAGTAAGGTAACATTACCTAGAATCAAGGCAGACTTCGATGATTCAGTCTTCTTTGTATAGCAATTTAAAATGTTTGACCTTGTGAAAATATTCTCTTAAATCTTCAGTTGATTTGCGAGGAGTGCAAAGATGACCTTTAAATTTTTAATTGGCTGCTACATCTTTAACTGTTTTTAAAGGAGTATATCTTGAGTACTCTTATCCAAAATGCCTGGGACCAGGAATATTTTGGATTTTGAACTGTTTCAGATTTTAAATCGTTGCATTATACTTACCCAGCAAATCATCCCAAATCCAAAAATCTGAGATCCAAAATGCTCCAGTGAGCATTTCCTTTGAGCGTCATATTGGCACTCAAAAAGTTTCATATTTTGGAACGTTTTGGATTTCAGATTTTCAGATTTGGAATGCTCAGTGGGTGCTTATTTAACTCTTACTGTCTGTATTCTTCCCTTAATGTTTTATATTTCCTTAGGCCCCGTGGGTTACATGTGATGACTGGGTGTCTAGTTGGGAGTGTGTGGTTCCTCCCATTGGTTGCTAGGCTGTTTGTTGTTTGTATTTGTGTTGATAGGAGACCTATAATGGCCACAGCTGATTCCATGGAATTTTTTAGCACCTGTATTCAAAATATTCTTTTCAGACCATGAGAATAAAACCAAAACAAAAACTCTTCCTTTGAAAGATACTAAATTGTAGATATTGTAGAGTAGGTTTTTGTTTTGTTTTGTTGTTGTTTTGTTTTTGAGACAAAGTCTAGCTAGCTTTGTTGCCTAGGCTGGAGTGTAATGATACCATTGTAGCTCACTGCGTCCTACCGCCAGGACTCAAGCAATCCTCCCACCTCAGCCTTCCTTATAACTGGGACTACAGGCATGTCCAGCTAATTTTTTAATTTTTTGTAGAAATCGGGTTTTACTTTGTTGCCCAAGTTGGTCTTGAACCAAGACCAACCAAGCAATCCTACCACCTCGGCCTCCTGAAGTGCTGGGATTATAAGTGTGAGCCACTGCACCTGGCTTAGAATGGTTTTTTATTAGGACAAGTTCTGGTTTTGTTATTTCTTATATTTTTTGTTTGCATTTTTGTAATTACCCAACCTTTTACTATGAAAAATTTCAAAGTATGGAAAAATTCAGCTAGTACTATGAACACGTATTTACTATCCACCTAAATTCACAAATTGATAGCATTTTGCATTATTTGTTTTCTGTTTATTTATACTCTTTTTTCTCTTTGCTATATCTTTCTTGATTTTTGATGACTTATTAATAAAATCAGAGGCTTTTAACTTTTTTCCCTGTGGTTGAGAGAAGATGGAATATATATGATTATATATATAATTAGATAAATTATTAATACAACAACAAGAGCTGACACTTACAGAGCAATCTTTGTATTTCATACACTTTATGTATAGTGAGGTATAGAATCCTCATAGCTCAATGAAGAATAGATAATATCCCCGTTTTATAGTTGTGGAAACTGAAGCAAGGAGAGACCAGGGAACTTGGTCACATCTAGTAGATGGTAGAGATAGCATTTTAATGCCAGTTGTTTAGCTGCAAGCAGTGAAGTTAATGACTTGCTACACTGCCTACTGATTTACATAAATCACAGGAATTGTCAGTTATTTACAGTAAAGCAGCAACATCTTAATTTTGTCCTTCACTCATTTATTTTTATTTCATGTGATTGCATGCATCTATGTTGATTCAATTAAGCTTTTCTTAATTGGTGTACAGTATATATGCTCAGTTTTTACAAATTTACAAAAAGAAGCCAGTTTGATTCTGGCTTCATGGTAGTCAAAGAAACAACAACAGAAAAACCGCTGGTAAACTATTTTCTGAAAAATTGCCCCTTGGTAAACATGGGAGGCCATTTTACCTAGCATAACTTTTATTTATCCAAGCATTAATAATTTTTCTTAGGATCTTTTAAATAAATTATCCTGGCCAGGTGCAGTGCCTCACACCTGTAATCCCAACACTTTGGGAGGCTGAGGCAGGTGGATCACCTGAGGTTGGGAGTTTGAGACCAGCCTGGTCAATATGGCAAAACCCCGTCTCTACTAAAAATACAAAAATTAGGCCGGGCGCGGTGGCTCAAGCCTGTAATCCCAGCACTTTGGGAGGCCGAGGCGGGCGAATCACGAGGTTAGGAGTTCGAGACCAACCTGGCCAACATGGTGAAAACCTGTCTCTACTAAAAATACAAAAAATTAGCTAGGTGTAGTGGCGGGCGCCTGTAATCCCAGCTACTCGGGAGGCTGAGGCAGGAGAATCACTTGAACCTGGGAAGCGGAGGTTGCAATGAGCTGAGATTGTGCCCTGCACTCCAGCCCAAGTGACGGGGTGAGACTCCGTTTCAAAAAAAAAAAAAAAAATCTTTTCAGCTCTTCGGCTTTGCCAGTTATTAGATGTGAAATTGAATCATGTTAATTATTTTGAGTCTGTTTCCTTGTCTATAAAGCACAGATGATAATATTGAACCTTCCGTGTGGCTGTGGCAGTTAAACAACACCTGACACCTGAGTAGATCCTCAACAAAAGCTAAATGTTATATGGTCTGTGTTAGTTTCAGAAATTTTGGTAAATTGTAAATTACCAATATTTTCCCAGTTGTTTACAAGCAGCTTAGGAGATTTTTTAAAAGTAGTCAGCTATAATAGAATCTGTATTACATAATATAACCAGACAGTTTAATCATTAACTAAGAGAAAAGTAATTTTAAAATTCTGTGGTTAGCAAATACTTCATATTATTTTATTTAATCTCTGAATTTGTATTATTGAAAATTGTTTTAGAATTTGTTCCAATAAGCCAATGTATTTGCATTGTAGATAGTATAGATAAGTATATGTATTTTGTGACGGATGGCAGTCAGATGTCTAAAAGAAAAGGACTTTTTTTTTTTTTGAGACTGAGTCTTGCTGTGTAACCCAGGCTGGAGTGCAGTGGCGCGATCTCGCTCACTGCCACCTTCGCCTCCCAGCTCCCGGTTCAAGCAATACTCCTGCTTCAGCCTCCCGAGTAGCTGGGATTATAGGCACGCGCCACCATGCCCAGCTAATGTTTGTATTTTTAGTAGAGATGGGGTTTCATCATGTTAGCCAGGCTGTTCTTGAACTCCGGACCTCGTGTTCCACCCACCTTGGACTCCCAAAGTGCTGGAATTACAGGCGTGAGCCACCACGCCCGGCCAAGAAAATGACATCTTTTTCTAATTTAAACAGAAGCATTGAAGTCCTAGTGGTAGCCCTGATTAGCAATATGGAAAATTTCCAAGTACATTATTGCTTGTGTCATACCTTAGAGAAGGAAAGAAGAATGAGAGAGGCGTATATTGAAGAGTTGTAACTGCCTGTTGTTTAAGGATAGAATAGTAAATACTCATCTTTAGTACTTACTAAAGATGAAGTTGCTCAGGACTTAAGTGGCGGCAGTCTGTTGTAATGGTTAGGCGGCACATCGGCTCTGCAGTCAGATGGCCTCTCTTCTTCTCTGATTGGTCACCTTATTCAAGCTGTTACAACCTGTTTGTGCATCAGTGTTTTCATACGTAAGATGAGGATAATAACATTTGTAGGGTGACAAGGTTATACATATTATAAGGTTATGCATATTGATGTAATCTGTGTGCTATATATACCAAATATCTATGCGTACGTTATGTAAACTCTTGTCATGGGAAGCCCTTGGGACTTTTTTATTTAAAATGGTATCTGGGCTCGGCATGGTGGCTCACACCCAGAATCCCAGCACTTTGGGAGGCCGAGGTGGGTGGATCATGAGGTCAGGAATTCAAGACCAGCCTGGCCAATGTGGTGAAACCCTGTCCCTACTAAAAATACAAAAAAATTAGCTGGGCGTGGTGGCGGGTGCCTGTAATCCCAGCTACTCGGGAGGCTGAGGCAGAGAATTGCTTGAACCTGGGAGGTGGAGGTTGCAGTGAGCTGAGATCGCACCATTGCACTCTAGCCTGGGTGACAGAGTGAGACTCCATCTCAAAAACAAACAAACAAACAAAAAACGGTATCTGGCTATAGCGTCAGGTACTATACCCAGACTCCCATCTCACCCCAGATTTCCCTGAATCAAATGGGCAAGAGAGCTTGGGTGGCCATCTAAGTTTGGTAATCCGTATCCTGTGTGAATGGGCAACTCTAGTCATCCTGTGCCTTGATTCCCACTTCTTTTGAACCTGTGCTGAATTGCTCTGGGTCTTTGTTTCATCTTTCCACCAAGCCAATTTGTTTTTCTCCTCCACTATTTTATTTCTCATATGTGGGAAACAGACTGCATAACTAACTTTCAAAATGTAGCTTTAATAATCTAGTGGTAATATGTAACGCTTGGTTTATGGAGACTAATCTAGCTGTTAGTTGTTTGAAATAGCAAGTATCTTTCATTAAATAACTTTGCAGAATTCAGAGAAACAGTTGACATCCAGATGCTGAGATTTTTCGACAACATTTGTTTTATACTATATTAATATTAACCATAACTATAAATTTTAGAGCGGTGAACTTTTTAAATTAGATTGGCTCATAATATCATTTATGTAACTTTCTCTTCAATGAATGGGATTAACAACCTACACAAACTGGATTTTTCATTAAAGGATTTTATGTTAAACTGTAGCGTTATAACCAAAATTTGTGAAAATTTGAACGTGGAAAACTGCTAAAACATGCTTCTATGTATTTTTCCAAAGCTTAGCCATATTTTCTCTGCCAGTCCAAGAGCCCTGACAGGTTAATTATAATCATGGCTTGTTTCATCTATATATGACATGAAATGTGAGCTATTAAAATTCTAAGAATTCTGTCATATGGTTAAGACTGAGGTAGGTTTTTTGTTTAGGTTAATTAAGCACTTCCCCCTTTATATATAAAAACAGGTTGAGTACGATTATATGAATTTTCGTAATTATTGTGGATGAGCATGTTGATAACATTATCTCTCAAGTATTAAAATAGCAGGCCGGGCTCAGTGGCTCATGCCTATAAGCCCAGCACTTTGGGAGGCCAAGGCGGGCGGGTCACCTGAGGTCAGGACTTTGAGACCAGCCTGACCAACACAGAAAACCCGGTCTCAATTAAAAATACAAAAATTAGCCAGACGTGGTAGTACATGACTATAATCCCAGCTACTCGGAGGCTGACAGGAGAATGGCTTGAACCCAGGAGTTGGAGATTACAGTGAGCCAAGATCACGCCACTGTACTCTAGCCTGGGCAACAAGAGTGAAACTCCATCTCAAAAAAAATAGCAGGAATGAATCAAACAGATTTGCTTTTAAATTCCTAATTTTAAGAAGCTCAAGCAAACTTCTTGCTAAGCGTTTTTTTTTTTTTTTTTTTTTTTTAAGACAGAGTCTCGCTCTGTTCCCCCGGCTGGAGTCAGTGGCGCGAACTCCACTCACTGCAAGCTCCACTTCCCAGGTTCATGCCATTCTCCTGCCTCAGCCTCTCAAGTAGCTGGAACTACAGGCGCCCGCCACCACACCTGGCTAATTTTTTGTATTTTTAGTAGAGATGGAGTTTCACCATGTAGCCAGGATGGTCTCGAGCTCCTGACCTCGTGATCCACCGGCCTCAGCCTCCCAAAGTGCTGGGATTATAGGCGTGAGCCAACACACCCAGCCCTTGCTAAGCATTTTAACATCCTCCTCCTTCCCCAACAAAATTAGCTCCTCATTTGTGTTCATGTGACCCTATGTACATACCTTTCTTCCATAGCACTCAGCAGCTGGTATCATAGTTAATGGCCTGAGAGTTTTGTGTTAGGCATCTCTGTATGTAGTGTTTAATACAAAGTCTGGCATGATGTTGGTCATGCTGTGTTGAAAATATGGGAAGTAGCATTTTGAAACACACAACTGGTATTTTGTAAAATGACTTCTCAAGTATTAAAGTGTTAAATGATGTAGAATATGCTAATTGTCTCACTTTAATTTCATCATCTCAATAGGACTATACAGGCTCCAACCCAAGTTCCAGTGGTTGTGTCTCCTAGGAATCAGCAGTTGCATACAGTAACACTCCAAACAGTGCCACTCACAACAGTTATAGCCAGCACAGATCCATCGGCAGGTACTGGATCTCAGAAGTTTATTTTGCAAGCCATTCCATCATCACAGCCCATGACAGTACTGAAAGAAAATGTCATGCTACAGTCACAAAAGGCAGGCTCTCCTCCTTCAATTGTCTTGGGCCCTGCCCAGGTTCAGCAGGTCCTTACTAGCAATGTTCAGACCATTTGCAATGGAACCGTCAGTGTGGCTTCCTCTCCATCCTTCAATGCTACTGCACCTGTGGTGACCTTTTCTCCTCGCAGTTCACAGCTGGTTGCTCACCCACCTGGCACTGTAATCACTTCAGTTATCAAAACTCAAGAAACAAAAACTCTTACACAGGAAGTAGAGAAAAAGGAATCTGAAGATCATTTGAAAGAGAACACTGAGAAAACGGAGCAGCAGCCGCAGCCTTACGTGATGGTAGTGTCCAGTTCCAATGGATTTACTTCTCAGGTAGCTATGAAACAAAACGAACTGCTGGAACCCAACTCTTTTTAGTTAATATACCAAAGCTTGTGGATGATTGTTTGTTAATTGAACATTTTCAATTATATGCAAACTGATTGATTCTAAGATAAAGTCTAAGGAGGTTTCTAATTTTGTAATTGTTAAAGATAGGGTTAATTTTGATTTTGTTAGATGAGGGAGGAAAACTCAACTGTTTCTCTTTGTTATCTAAATGTTTCAGAATTCAGTCGTGAAGGAACAGGCATTTTACACTATGAAGACATTCTTTTGAGATTTTTTTTTCAGTTGCTATATCATAAGCATTTTTAAAGTTTCTTTTCTAATTTTACATTGTATTAGATTTTCTGATTCTTTTGTAAATACAGAACTTAAATAGAAGGCAACAGGAAATTTATATAGGAACTATTTTCATTCCACTTGTATAAGTTAAGTCTTGACTCTTTCAAATGCAAAAAACCTATTTTATGCTTTGTTAAAATTATGGTGTCACTTAGATTGACTTTAGTTGGCTGTACTATATAATATAGAACTATGAATATGTAAAATAACGTGAAAAATTGGAGGTGCTGGTGGTGTGGCTGACCCTGTTTCAGAAGCAGGATAGTGTAAAAGCATCAGCCTAAGAATGGCACTCCCACTAACTCGCTATGTAATCTTGACCTCTTTGGGCTTTAGTTCTTCTCATAAAAGGAAGAGATGTGTTGGACTAGACTAGATGATCACCACTGTCTCTTCTAGTTCTAATCTTTTTAATTCTAATACCTGTATTTTCAAGTTATGTCAATTAAATCATTATCAGGTTATTTCCTAATATAAGAATAGCTGAAATGTTGCAGAGAAATAAGTGACCCAACAAAGTTTATTCATCTATGATGGGTAAGATTTGCCATAAATTCTTCCTAAATAATTTGTTTACTAACTCTTTAGGCCACTGTGCTTTGCGGTCCATTAGTAAACTTGTGTTGCTAAGTGCTAAACAGAATACTGCTATTTTGAGAGAGTCAAGACTCTTTCTTAAGGGCCAAGAAAGCAACTTGAGCCTTGGGCTAATCTGGCTGAGTAGTCAGTTATAAAAGCGTAATTGCTTTATATTTTGGATCATTTTTTATTGGGGGTGGACTTGGGGGGTTGCATACAAAGATAACATATATATCCAAGTTTCTGAAATGAAATGTTTTTAGATTACTTTTCAACTGTAAATAATGTACATTTAATGTCACAAAAAAATTGTCTTCTGCAAATTTTCTAGTATAACAGAAATTTTTGTAGATGAAATCATTATGTTTAGAGGTCTAATGTTATGTTTTCATATTACAGAGTGAATTTGTATTTAAACAAAAATTTAAATTTTGGAATCCTCTAAACAATTTTGTATCTTTAATTGGTTTATTATTAAATAAATCATATAAAAATTCTCAGTGTTTCTGTTTTCAGGCAAAAGTTTCTTAAAGAATAAGTGTACAAAGAATATTGCTAGAACATTAGCATTACTTAATGTTTATAAATAAACTCCATTAGTCAGAATTGCAGGATATCATCCTTTCACTTTTCCTTTATAGCAGGCCAAATGGCAGTTTCTAAACATCACACAATGGATTACCAAGTTGTAAAAATTAGACAACAATAAAATATTCCCAGCAATAATATTAAACACACTTTTGTTTCGTTTTGTTTTGTTTTTGAGACAGAGTCTCAGCTCTGTCGCCCAGGCTGGAGAATAGTGGCATGATCTCGGCTCACTGCAACCTCCACCTCCCAGGTTCTAGCTATTTTCCTGCCTTAGCCTCTCAAGTAGCTGGGATTACAGGTGCCCACCACCACATCCAGCTAATTTTTTGTATTTTTAGTAGATACGGGGTTTCACCATGTTGGCCAGGCTGGTCTTGAACTGATCTCAGGTGATCTGCTCGCCTTGGCCTCCCAAAGTGCTGGGATTGTAGGTGTAAGCCACCATGCCCCACCTAAACACACTTTTGAAAATAAGTTTTCTAGTTAGAAACTAGGTCAGTTAATAGTTAAACTTGGAAAACATCGAAAAATTTTCTTATGAAAATTAAAGTCTCTAATCCAATAAGAAGTAACTTTCACTTATTCATTTTTTCATGTTTGTGAATGTTATTCCAAAATGTGATTTTAAAGGCCGTGTAATATTATATTAGTATACCAAAATCCAGTTAAATAAAACCTTTTTAACTAGATAAGTTAGTTTTATAGTTTTTCACCACATAGTGAGTATCAGTGTCTTAGTTCGTCTTCTTCGTTGCTGCTATAACATAATACCTGGGACTGGGTAATTTATAATAAACAGAAATTTATTTGCCCACAGTTCTGGAGTCTGGGAAGTCCAGTATTAATGCACCAGCAGGTTTGGCAGTTCTCATTCCAAACAGTGCCTGAACACCGTGCCCTCTGGAGGGAAAGAAGGCTTCATCTTCAAATGGCAAAGACAGAAAAGCAAAGAGAGCCCACTTCCACTTCCAAAAGACTTTTTATTTATTTATTTATTTATTTTGAGACAGAGTTTTGCTCTTGATGCCCAGGCTGGGGTGCAATGGCGTGATCTCGGCTCACCTCAACTTCCGTCTCCAGGTTTCAAGTGATTCTCCTACCTCAGCCTCCCGAGTAGCTGCGATTACAGGCATGCACCACCACACCCAGCTAATTTTCTATTTTTAGTCGAGGCAGGGGTTTCTCCGTGTTGGTCAGGCTGGTCTCGAACTCACAACCTCAGGTGATCTGCCCACCTCGGCCTCCCAAAGTGCTGGGATTACAGGCGTGAGCCTTTTTATGAAGGCATTAAACCCATCCATGAAGGTGGAGCCCTCCTGGTCTAATCACTGCTTAAAGGCTCCACCTCCCAGTACCTTTACTTTGGCAATTAAATTTCAACATGAGTTTTGGAGGGAACAAACATTCCAGCCGTAGCATACAGTACATAATAATTTTTTGAAAATTAAGGATCTTGCACTATTTTTGAGTCAGTTATCCTTAAAGGAGATACCAGATAAACTCTCTTTATTTATAATAGTAACACCATTTAAATTGTGTATTTTTTTTTAAGTTTAAAAGGTATAGTATAAGAATTTTTAGAGACACTATTATTTAAGGTTATTGGAATAGTGTACAATTACCATGAACACTGAAATTTTAAAGATGGGAAAAGAAGCCCGGATGCGGTGGCTGTCGCCTGTCATCTCAGCACTTTGGGAGGCCAAGGTGGGAGGATCACTTGAGCCCAGGAGTTTTAAGACCAGCATGGGCAACATAGTGAGATGTCATCGCTACAAAAATTCAAAAAATTAGCCAGGTGCAGGGATGCACTCCTGTGGTCCCAGCTACTTGGGAGGCCAAGGTAGGAGGATCACTTGAGGCAGGGAGATGGAGGCTGCAGTGAGCCATGATCATGCCACTGCACTCCAGCTTAGGTGACAGAGGGAGACCCTGTGTTCAAAAAAAAAAAAGGAGAAGAAAGTCATGTAGTAAGAACCTTAAAACTTCAAAAGCTTAGTCTTTTGGTTTGAACTAAGTATTAGCTACTAAGGAACCTGTGTTTCCCCCATTAGAATGTCTTATGTATCCATATATTCCTTTTTTGTATCTATAGCTACCATCCTAGTTGTAGTCTTTTCTATGTTATTCTTGCCACAGTTTATCCACTTAATATATGAGTGTGTATTTTGTGGCAGGCAGTATTCTGTGTGCTGGAGATAGGTCAGTGAACAAGAGCCTCCCAAGTGACTTCCTGCTTGTGAACTCTTAGTTTGTCAACATGAACTGGTTTTATTCACACTTCTAACATAAAAGCTTGGGATTTTTTCACACCCACTCCCAGTTCTGATACCAACTGGGTGTCTTTGTCCTACAATTCAGTTCAATTCTGACCCTAACCACTTGGAGTTAGCACAGACCCCACAGGTTAAGGGGCTTAGTCTCTCAAAACCGCCCCTCCTTCCGATGCCCATTGCAAGTCCCAGGTTTCCACTTGTACTTCTGACCAGCTGGCTATAAATCAGGGGTTCCCATGACCCCCACCTGCTTAGGTTGGATAATTTACTAAAAGAGCACACAAAACTTAGGGAGCCAATTTACTGGTTTACATTGATGTCAGTTTATTATAAAAAATAACAACTCATGAACAGCCAAATGAAAGATGCATAAAGCAATGAATGGGAGGAAGTGAACAGAGCTGCTCTCCCATCTCATGGTGTGCCACCTACCCAGCACCTCAGAGTGTTTACCAACCTAGATGTTCTCCAGACACCAACATTTTAAGAGTTTTTTAATGAAGCTTTTATTACATAGGCATGCCTGATTAAATCACTGGCCATTGGTGATTGAACTCAATTGCTACACCCTTTCCCCTCCCAGGGGATGGGACTGAAAGTTCCAACTCTAATTACATGGTTGGTTCCTCTGGAAATCATTTCCCATCCTGAAACTATCTGGGGACCCATGAAGTGTCCACCTTATTAGCATAAACTCAGGTATGGTTGAAAGGGGCTTGTTACGAATAACAAAATATGCTCGTATCCCTTCTAAATGCCAAGGGTTTCAGAAGCTAGGGTGTCAGGAACTAGGGATAAAAGCCAAATAAGATGTTTTTATTGTATCACAATCATGCACCTACTTACAGAATAGTCTTTCTAAAATATCCCTTGGCAGTTTGGGCAACATAGTGAGACCCCATTTCCAGAAAAAGTAAAAATATTCACAGTGCATGGTGGCAAGAGCCTGTAGTCCCAGCTCTTCAGGAGGCTGAAGTGGGAGATCTCTTGAGCCTGGGAGGCTGAGGCTGTAGTGAGCTGTGATTACAGCACTGCACTCCAGCCTGGGTGACAGAATGAGACCCTGTCTCAAAAAAATCAAATAAAAATATCCCTCGGGAATGCATAATGTTGATATATGGAAACCCTCAATACCTTTCTACTTGTAGGATAAAGTCCAAAATCCTTAGCTTAACATTCAAATTCCTCCATCAAACTGGGTTCTTAGGCCAACTATTTCAGTGTTACCCTTTTTTTTTTTCCTTTGAGACAGTGTCTCGCTCTCTCACTAAGTCTGGAGTGCAGTGGCACAATCTTGGCTTACTGCAATCACCGCCTCCTGGGGCTCAAGCGATCCTCAGCCTCCTGAGTAGCTGGGATCACAGGTGCGTACAGTGCCAGGCTAATTCTTCTTGTATTTTTGTAGAAAGGGTTTTTTGCCACGTTGCCTAGGCTGGTCTCCAACTCCTGGGCTCAAGGGATCCGCCCCCCCTTAGCCTCCCAAAGTGCTGAGGTTACAGGAGTGAGCCCTTGTACCCTGCTGATGTTTTCCTTAAAATGCAAATTTTTGGTTCCACTCCATACTTACTGAATTTGCATCTCATGGGAAAGCTGTACAATTTGCATTTTTTTTTTTTTTTTTTTTTTTTTTTCTGAGACAGTCTCGTTCTGTCGCCCAGGCTGGAGTGCAGTGGCACAATCTCGGCTCACTGCAACCTCCACCTCCCGGGTTCAAGCAATTTTCCTGTCTCAGCCTCCCAAGTAGCTGGGACTACAGGTGCCTGCCACCATGCCCTGCTGATTTTTGTATTTTTAGTAGAGACGGGGTTTCACCATATTGGTCAGGCTGGTCTCGAACTCCTGACCTCAGGTGATCCACCCGCCTCGGCCTCCCAAAGTGCTGCGATTACAGGTGTGAGTCACTGCGCCCAGCACAGTTTGCATTTTTAACTAGTATTGTATATTCCTTGCTACACAGAGTAGCCCTAAATTAGCAGCAACATCATCTGGAAACATTTTAGAAATACAGAACTCCAGGCCCTGCTCCAGACCTAATGAACCAGAATAAGATAGACATTCAAGTTTGAAAAGTACTAGGTAATCTTAATGTACTCTTGGAAGTTTAAGAACCACTGATCTAGCCCCAACCTATTCTTTTAAGCTTATCCCTTGATGTTGCTCTACATTTATTCATTCAACCAACACCTATTGGGTAGGGTATCAAGCATGGCTTTACATAGTCATGGAACTCGTTGTACAAAGTTGAAAAAGTATGATGTCCACCCTCCAGAGAGACACTGGGATTAATGAATGAAGCGGCATACGGCTGCGTGTGATCAGCCAGTGGCTCTCACCATCCACTTAGAATAAAGGGATCAATATTTTGGGCACGCCCATAACCCATTCATGGTACATTAGTTAGGGAGCTCTCCCTTATGTGCTAGTATTTCTTAAGATTTCATTCTTGGCTCTCTTCCCACTGCACATGCTTCTTTGACAATCTCATCCACTTCTATTGGCTCAGTCACTATATTATGTCTTGACTGTCTCTAGCCCTAACAAAACCTAGTCACCAACTCCTGAACAGGACATGGCTGTCTGTGCTAGGCCTCTCCACACCAAATCATTGACTCGACATTGTTTATTAAGGAAGG